ATCGGATGGATTCCTCCTGCAAAGACTATGAATGCTATTGAAGAAGTTTACAGAATCGCAAGGGCGCAAACTCTTATTGCATTGTGCAGTACCGTCCCGGGCTACTGGTTTACGGTAGCTCTCATTGACAGGATTGGAAGATTTGCAATTCAGTTGATGGGATTCTTCTTCATGACAGTGTTCATGTTTGCACTGGCTATTCCCTATGATCACTGGACTCACAAGGACAACCGAATTGGGTTCGTGGCGATCTACTCATTGACCTTCTTTTTTGCAAACTTTGGTCCTAATGCAACAACATTTGTTGTGCCGGCTGAGATCTTCCCAGCTAGGTTCCGGTCTACTTGTCATGGAATCTCAGCTGCATCCGGGAAGCTTGGCGCCATAGTTGGTGCATTCGGTTTCTTGTACTTGGCTCAGAACCAAGATAAGGCCAAGGCAGATGCAGGGTACCCTGCAGGCATCGGGGTTAAAAACTCGCTCATCGCGCTGGGTGTGGTCAACTTCTTGGGGATATTGTTCACTTTCTTGGTGCCCGAATCGAATGGGAGGTCGTTGGAGGAGATGTCGGGTGAGAACGAAGAAGAAAGCGAAAGCGTGGCAGTGGAGTTGGAGCACTCAGACTATAACAACAGGACAGTTCCAGTTGTGTAGGTTGGATCTGTTAGCAGTGTGCAGGAAATAATCTTGTAATGTAAGCCTGTTGTTAATTTTGGGGAGGGAAAAAGCCTACTTTTCGATTTCCTACTTTGTTGTATTCACTTGAGTCTAGGTCCTGGCTTTTACAAAGCCAGACAAAGGGTACGTTTTTCATGTATAACAACATGTACGTATCAATATCAACAGGCAAGACCATCGAGTAATCTTGTCCTTCAGTCATGTTCTTCTTCTGTCTATTTTTCTTATATGGTATCGACTATCGAGAGCTTAAACAGCTAATGCCCTAAACTCAACTTGTTTGGGTTAATATTTGAACATTGGGCTGCAAGTGTGTAGAAGCCTAGAAATACCAACTAAAAGAAGACTTAGCCAAAGCCCAAGCATCAAGCCCAGAGGCAAATTGGCGCCTTTTTAATGCATAGGCCATGTGCCTATGATTTAAATGTCAAGTGATGGGAACTAACTCACAATCAGCCAAAAAGCACATTTCAGTGGCAATACAAGTAAAAAGCTGATGACTCACTACCCTCCAAATGCTTTCGGGCAAGAGCAAAGTCATTGCAATCAAGCTAATTTGCCTATAAAAGGAGGAAGAGGCCTCAAAAACAAGGACACTCAACCAATTAAACAAACAAACATACAAACTCTGCTCTCAAGCCAGATTTGCATCTAAAAACTGTAATTAGCCCAGATCTCAATCCTTTTTAGGATATCTCCCTTACAAAAGTTTTTTTTTTTTTTTTTGGTCTTGTTTAAAAGCTCTGCTATCACCCCTAGTGGCGTAGTATCGATTCCTTTGTGTATACTGGTTTACCATCCATCCCTTTTTAGCATAGAAACCTCTTTAAACTCAAAGAGAAGTGATTGCAAGAAGTTCAACCTTACCTGAAATCTTGCTTAAAGTTCTTTGTGTGTTTTCTAAGATAATAGATCTCCTGCATTCTGTAGCATGTATTCAAGTCATTTCCGCATGTTTTCCTACTTTAAAAGTCTTATTTGTATCTGGATCTGGTCAGCTTAACGGATATGCTTTCATTTAAAACCAATCAAGAACCAAACAGATGACTTAAGGGATCTAGACTCCCCTCATTCGAATAAACAAAATTATAAACTGAAAGTCCTTGGTCACAAGGCAAGAAAAAGAACTTAAAATGGATTTAACCCATCCATGACAATCCTTTGATAAAGTCCGAGTAACTTGGGGCGCAAGTAATCGACTAAACACAATCTTGTTCTACATCTGCTATATACAAGACTATGAACTAAAAGTCCTTGGTCACAAGGTAAGAAAAAGAACTTAATGCGGACTTAACCCATCCACGACAATCCTTTGATAACAAGAAGTCTGAGTATCTTGGGGCGCAAGTAATTAACTAAACACAATCTTGTTCTACATCTGCCACACTGAGATAGCAGTGGCACGCCTAGCACTTAGTTAGTTTTGATTGCGAGCCTCAAGGCCTACACTTAAGGCCTCACAAAGGCACCTTTCAGAACTAACTATGTCATCTTGTTGTAGCACATCAGCTAGCAAGAGCCCGACTATACATCCAAAGTGTCAATCCCTTGGGGAGCTGTGCTGAGAGCCGAGGAGCCCTCTCCGGAGAAATCTTCGCCCGAACACAACCCAATGGCAAACACCCAATCTTCTTCCCTCCCTTCATCTGCTTCTGCTATTTCTGAAACCCCTGCAAGCCTAGCCTCTTCAACCATGGTAGCCATCTCCTCAAGGCTCCCTACCTCGTTCAGTATTTCTCACCTCTTCACTACCCCAATGGACCGATCCAATTTAAAGACGTAAATTTGAACTGCATAAATGGAGGGGAATATACCACTGAAACTCTCTTCACCTGCTTCTGTTTTCGGTTTTGGCTACTTTCTATTTACTACTAGAAACTCCCTGACATTTGGAACATACCACTGAAGGATGTCTTAAGTTCGTTGAACAGAAGGGTCTACAGAGAAACAACAGCTAGCTAAAATGGAGGGGAAAAATGCATCACTGTAATATTCCGGTTGCTCGGCGAAACGCCCTTCCCTTATAAATTCTCATGCCCGGCTTGCCCTACACCATTACCTATCCCCCCCCCCCTCCCTCCCTCTAGATCTCTCGTGGAGTGGGAGTCTCTGTAGGTTGAGAGAGAAGATCCAGGTTAGAAAAAAAAAAAGCTACAGCTCCACGCATGCATGTTCTTGTTTCTTCTTGATGAAGCTGCATGTTTTTCATATTTTATTTACCTTTTTTTTAATTTTTATAAATTAATTCTAGGCATTATTTTAATCCCATCCTATATATTACAACATGCGATCTTTCAAATTATATATGAAACATGATTTGTCCGGCTATGGAGCTGATGCCCGTTCTTTATTAATCAACAAAATGTCGTTATGTCATCGATAATATGTCAATATCATTGTCCGTAATAAAATGTACAAATGTGTTATTAGCATGTATTTTCAACATTATCAATGCACATCCGTTGTTTAATAAGAACCAACGTATTGCACATATAGTTTCAGGGAACTATTAGTTATATCCTCTGTGAATTTTGCCGACTTCTTATAAGTTTCTTCAAGAAATGTGAAACTCTTGTGCTTTAATTTTCTGTGTTTATCAATCAACTTCACATTTAAATCATTCTTTATTCATACATTGTTATGTAAATGTAATCTAACCGTTTGTGTTCTTGCATATTGAGAACCAGAGCAATAGAGTTTGCAAGAGAGAGATCAAACCAAGCAAAGCAAAGCAAATCCATGGCCAAAGAACAACTGCATGTGCTCAATGCACTTGACACTGCAAAAAACACAATGGAACCATTTCACCGCAATTGTAATCGCCAGAATGGGATTCTTCACCGACGCATACAACCTCTTCTGCATATCCCTCGTCACCAAATTGCTTGGCAGCACATACTACCATGTTGAAGGCTCACCAAAACCGGGCACATTGCCTCCAAATGTGACAGCGGCTGTCAATGGCGTGGCGCTTGTGGGCAAATTGGCAGGGCAAGTGGTCTTCGGCTGGCTTGGTGACAAAATGGGAGAAAAAAAGTGTATGGCATGACTCTTATGCTCATGATCATTTGCTCCATTGGTTCCGCGCTCTCCTTTGGGCACAACGCGAAGGCTGCAATGACCAGGGTTTGTTTCTTCCATTTCTGGCTAGGGTTTGGCATTGGTGATGACCACCCTCTTTCCGCCACCATAATGTCTGAATACGCAAATAAAAAGACTCGTGGTGCCTTTGTTGCGGCGGTGTTTGCCATGCAGGGGTTTGGAATTCTAGCAGGGGGGTTGTTTGCAATGCTCATCTCTGCGATTTTCGAGGCCAAGTTCAACGCTCCAGCTTATGAAGTTGATCCAGTTGGTTCAACTGTCCCAGAAGCAGGCAACCCTTGGAGAATCATTCTAATGGTTGGAGCACTTCCGGCCGCTCTAACTTACTACTGACGCTTGAAGATGCCAGAAACTGTTTGTTACACGGCACTTGTTGCGAAAAATGTCAACCAGGCTAATGCTGATATGGCAAAAGTTTTGCAGGTTGACATCGAAGCTGAACCCGTCAGGCTGCCTAAGGAAACCATGCAATCTTTTGGTTTATTCTCTAAGGAGTTTATACACACCGTCATGGACTCCACTTGCTTGGAATCGCAAGCACATGGTTCTTGCTTGATATTGCATTTTATAGCCAAAATCTGTTTCAGAAAGACATTTTCAGCACCATCGGATGGATTCCTAATGCGAAAATTTTGAATGCCGTTTCAGATGTTTATAGGATTGCTGGGGCACAAACGCTTATCGCCCTATGCAGTATGGTACCCGGATACTTGTTCACTGCAGCCTTAATCGAAAAAATCGGAAGATTCACAATTCAAGTGATGGGATTCTTCTTCATGACAGTGTTCATGTTTATAGTGGCATTTCTCTACAATTATTGGACACACCAGGATCACTTGATAGGGTTTGTCGTATTCTACTCACTTTCTTCTTTGCAAATTTCGGACCTAATGCCTACTACATTTCTGGTGCCGCCTGGAATTTTCCCAGCTAGACTGCGGTCTACTTGCCATGGCATATCTGCTGCAGCCGGAAAGTTCGAGGCAATGGTGGGTGCATTCTGTTCATCAAGTGGGGCAATATTTTAGGATGTGTTTTCATTTTTCTCTGTTTCGGTCTTTATATAACTATTTAATACATTAAAGTAGAAACCGGATACTCATCTCTGTATTTTTATGTTGTTTATCCTTGTATTAAAGTACCTGGTTGATCTTCGGTGATCTTTCCGTCTACATTGCCTATTAAGCATATATTTCGGGTTATGAATTTGTTCAAGAACAAAAGATCAATGACTTGGTGTATTTCTTGCTCCGCAAACATAAATCCATAAGTGACCAAATGTATATAGCAACAATTTTCGGGTTTTAATCACCTAAAGGTAATTAAATCCTGAAACAAGAAGATAACATCAAACCATACTTTTTGTACCTGCTAACTGATCTGCCAGTTTATTCAAGCAACAGTAATGCAGTTTTGTGCCGGTGATGGGTTCTAACATAGTGAAGCCAGCAGAACAAACTTACAGAACCCTAGAGATTTTGATTGACCAAGGAAGATGTGTTTTAGTACTGCAGAGATTTCAATGGGCACGGTCTCTGAGCACCTCAAGATCCATCTCTGTTGGGTCAGTAGCCTGAATCTCGTAGTGGATACCGTCCAGCTCCCTCCTAAACCTGTCTTTAGATGTGGCGTAGAGCATCTTCGCACGGATTTGAGAGGCCGAAGGGGACCTGAGCATTATTATGTAAATAATCATGACTTAGCACAAGACAGAACAACTATTTGAATTTCCAAGCGCACAAAGTTCTGGTTTATTAGGACCAAAACTTGCATCAATAGTATCCTGCACCACTGAGTTTATATGAAAGGATCATAAAACTGGATACCAAATTAAGGGAGCAAGTGCAACCGTATGGATGATTTATTGTAAAAAAAAAGAGGTTTGTATTTGCAAATAACTGCACGGGATTGAAATATTGCGACTTCGGAATTGGGATCAAAATTTGTGATTGTTCCTTCATTGATCAAGACTTTATATTTTTGATAAGTATAATGATCATCTAACAAAGAAGAGTTTCAATTTTTTCAAATGAACGATTTGAAGACCTCTTGATTCTAACAACTGATTGTAGAGTTGATCATTCAGACCTTTCAATTCATACATGTGTGGATCACCAAAAGAAAACAGCCTGGTAGTGATAGTTTTTCTTTTTTCAACAATGTGACTAATCTACGGGGAGCAGGATTCCGAACTTAAGTGCAAGGAGGAGACGTAATGATCTGGCCAACTAGCCTAATCTGCGTCTGGATTTGAGTCCATAGTGATAAATCATATGGTGAAGAGATTAAAGGGAAAAACTAACCATGCGATGAAGAAGATCTTGCTCTTTTGACAGTTCTCAGAAGTTACGAAATCATAGTCATATACGGCATATCGACAATCATTATCAGGTAAAGCTGCCACAAAATCATCATAGCTCTCCGCCGGACCACCAATCTTTTCAACTACAACCTCTCTCTTCTTCTCATCAACCTTGAATATCACATAGCGGTGAAGCTTCTTCCTCTGCAGCTCCATGAAAGTGTTCTTGCTCTCATCAGAAACCCCCATGGCACATGAAGCATTTGGCTGGAAAATCAACAAAAACATCCAATGCTGTTATATAATTTAACCCAATACTAAGGAAAACTTAGTAACTAGCTTGCCTAGACATCTATCCTCTGTCTGGCCATCAGGACCACGAAAAATTTGGAAGTCTAATACAACGATCACACAGCAATATTTCAAACTACTCTAATATATAAGGAAGGATTCCAATATGGTGCGGGAAACACCGCACTGATTAACTAGCTCAACTCACGTATGCAAAAAATTCCTCGAGAACCGTGTGGATACTAAATACAATTTATTGGGTTCATCCAAAGCTACATCAGACTGAATTATCTTTACGGAAACATGGGATTTAATACAAAATCATGAGCTCTTAAATAAAATTAAGTCACTAAACAAAACCCACAGTTAAACCAAACCATATAGAAGCTTCAAAAACCCACACACACACATATATATATATATAGAGAGAGAGAGAGAGAGTACCCGACCGAGCCCTCTGAAAGACATTGCAGCCGTGAAAATCTCAAATATCCCAAGAGAAAGCTTGATCAAGAACGAGAAAGAACAGATTTTTCAGCGAAGGCTAGCAGCTAAAGAGAGATTTGAACAAATGAGGCATGCAGAAGAAAAGATAAAGAAATGGGAAATCTGAAACGAATCGAACTATACCAATCAAAACCACAAAAAAAGAAAATCAACTTATCAAACTAAAAGGTTTAGAAAAAGATAAGGAAATGGAAAGAAAAATAGAAAGGTGGAAAGATTCGGATTCTAAAGGAGAGCGGTGCAGTCTGCAGTGCGCCTATGCTTTCTGGTATTACCCTTTTGCTGTGAGGCTCTCTGGTGATGAAAGATACGTACACATGGCGATGATGCTGCGTGGGACTAACGCTTTGCCTGCAAGCAAATTGCAATGGCCGACGTTGACTTTGGGGACCAGAGTTTCGGGGAGGGACCACTCTCCACCACCGTCCGCGCTGACGCGCTATATATTAATCTTTGTCCACTCGCCACGTACAGAAGACTGACTCTACTTTTGCTACTGCCAAGACAAACGGATTATGTTTGTGAGAATTCAGAAGATTCGTCAATCTTATTTGTTTATAGTATATCATGTGGTTAGAAATTATCTTAAATATTTTTATTTAAAATTAAACACAAACAGTTAAAAAAACTAACCGCACAATGTACTATAAACAGACATAATTCACGGATTTTCAAGATCTTCACCAAAAATATCCGGAGATGATCCTGTTAGGTGTTATCATGCAACTAACATCGATCTTGTGATTAAAGTAAGAAGATATAAGTTGGGTCAATTAGTTATAGTAATGTTTCGTTGTATAGGAGAAACCAAACTTACGTTAATAAAAATTAATTTCATATAACTGTTTGCAATCGGGGTCACATATTCAAGCAATTTAGATAATTACCCTGTCCAAAAAAATAAGAGTAATTCAAACAATGATCTGATCCAAAAAAACATTTAAACGTAGATTTGTATGAAATACTTCCAAGTGTTTCTTGAATGGCAAAAATCATTTTTTGACGCACTAATACATTTCTGATTGTGTTTCCTAGAAAAACTATGAGTGCTTACTTACAATTAGAGATGTTTTGCCTGATGAAATTTTGTTTCGGCTAGTATTCTTATTCATTTCCTTGTTGATCCAATTTAATGTTGAAAAATGGTTAAAGAAAAAAAAAACCCTATTTTGACTATGTTTCTATTGCACTCAAATGTGAAAATGTTACGCCATTTAGTATTACGGTATAGTAGTATTTTTTTTTTCATTTGTAAGTGTGAGGCTTTAAGTTTAATTTTCACAAAAGACGAATCTGAACCATATTATTGCTACTCTATTATGAGGTTTAGCATACTCTTCCATCCTTGTTTCTATGTAGATAACAAATTTTGTTATAAAATAATAAAAATAAAAAAAGTGAAAGGGTCACGTGATTGTCACGAGCTCTCCACCAACAAAGAGCAGGAGCATCCGCAACCCAAACCCGAAACATCGACTGCTTTCCTGGATCGAAATTTTGTGCCCTAAAATTTGGGGTTTTTGGGTTTTCGAAATTTGGTTCCTGGGCAGCTGCTAAACGATTCCCTGATGAAAATGGATTCAGAAGGTACGCGTCGGGATTGTATTCTTTCACAAAATAATTGAAAAAAATCGATCTTAATTTTATTATCAATGAAAAATTGATTATTTTTTATTTGTGTTAAATATTTAGCAGCGCAAAAGGCGTCGAGCAATAATCCGTCGGTAATGCTCGCTTCTCTTCTGAGTAGGAGAGCCAAGCTTCAAGATGAACTCCGAGGCATTGAAAAACAGGTTCAATTTTTATTTATTTCTTAAATAATTTAATTACATTTTTCGTTGTTCTTTCACGTAGGGTTGGAGAATGAGTTTTTTTGGCTACTGGGTTTATTAGTTAGAGTTCATTTCTGGGGATATAGCTGAAATGGAAGACCTTTTTCTTTTGTGCCTTTTTTTTTTTGGTTACACAAATGATTTTAATTGGTCATGTATAGAAAATCAGAAATGTATGTAAAAAAAATTGAGTTTTTTTCTTTGTCGTGTTATTAACTTTACATGAAATGGGTGTTAACCCTTTTTTGTTCTAAACTTACATGTTCTAAACTTCCATGAAATGGGTGTTAACCCTTTTGTGTCCATCTCCCTTATCACATAACATGTAAGTTAGCCCGCGATAGGTAAGCGTTTCTCGTCTTAATGATGTTTCTATGGAAATTTGTTCTTTCTCGTTTTGGTTTGGTCCACAGTTTAGAACCGAAATGCAGCAGCAGATATGAATAGAAATGTATGCAAGTTAGTGGAGAAAAAATTACTTGGTTTTGTATAGTATGTTTAAAGAATAAAGCATTTTTCTTTCGTGTCTTAATGGAGGCAAACTTACATGAAATGAGTATATAAGCACTCAATGAGAGAGAGAGAGAGAGAGAGAGTGTGTATACGCCCATGATAGGTAAGTTTTTCTTGGTTATGTTGCCACGGATATTTGGTTGTAATTGTTTCTTTGTCGTTTTGGTTTGGTGCACCGTTTAGAATTGAAATGCAGCACAAGCCATGGGATGGAAAAGTTTTTTTATGTCTTGTTGTAGTTGCAGCTGAGCTGTGTATTTGATACGCCTCTTTACTGGAACTAATGTCTTCTTATAATGCAGGTCTATGATTTGGAGACTAGTTATCTGCAGGATCCAACTCAATGTGGAAATGTACTAAAAGGTTTTGAAGGGTTTCTATCGTCATCCAAGAACACTAACCTGTGAGAACTAGCTAAGATATCCTTTGGCTTTTTTTTCTTTGTACTCCTATGTAGGGTTATCCTCCTTAGTTAACTCTTGCCCATGAGGCTTCTGTGTTTGCGTGATAGTCTTAAACAAACTACTCTTTTTCCCATGAAGAACTGGTTCTTTAGTATTCTGGCTAGTTAGATTCAATGCTCTGATTATTCAGTTTTCCCTCTGGTTCACTTCCTTTCTGATCTTACCTGTTGTGTTACTCCTCCAAGCGGTCTTTTTCTTTGCTAGCAGGGTTCTTTCACTGACCACTTTTGCAGCTAACTAAAACTGGTAGTATTAGCTCATCTAGTGATCCCCATTAACTATAGACAAAAACTCACGAAATGACCTTTGGTTTCGCAGGTTGAGTCTAAATTCATGGAATGATTATCTCTATATATGATATTTGGCGGTTTTGAATAAATTATATTCTTGAATTATTTCTCGGGCAAGCCTTTTTTATGTCGGAAACATGCTTTAGCTGGGAGATGATTGGCCGTTACTCATTGCTCTGATGGCATCTGAATTGAATGTTCTTACAGCACATTTCCCCTGAATAATCTATTTTTCCATACAAAAGATTCCACATGGCACATGCAAATTATATTAAATCAAACACGCAGCACTGATATTTTCTGCATTATATGCACAAAACTTTCATGTTTGGATTTTGGAGTCTGCTGTATACGGATTAATGGAATGGAATTCTTCATACCTTTTGACTGCAGCTTGAAGCGATCTAGGAAATTTCAGCCTGAAGATAGAATGTTTTCATTATCTTCTGTTACATCACCAGCAGTAAGTATTCTAAACATTAAAAGTCCCGTTATGGTGGCTGTACCGGTTGTCCTCATCTTTTATTGTTCTAATTTAATGTCATTTTCGCATTATCAGTACATTCATGCAAGTGAATGTGGACTTAAAATTTCAAACCACTTTTATTTGCATGTATAGGTTTACATTGATAAATAATTGTTTGAAACATGAAACCGATGTTCATAGGTTCTCTTCTCTTTTCTCAGGCTGAGGAACTTGCGGCTGCACGAGATGGTAAAGCTTATGTTGCCAAATATACAACAACAGCCTGCGCAATTCTTATTCATTGTTTTGTCCCCTTGTGTTTATTGTAGATGGGAGATCAGACTTTGGTCCAGGTCGGTCCAAAGGCGGTATATATGCAAATGGGCAGTAAGAACTCCACTATCTATCTTTGATGGAAAACAGTTTGTATCAATTGCCGCCATTTATCTTTGAGGCTCTATCTCCTGGCATCACTGTCTGAAATATATAATTTATGTCACAGAGGAAAACCGAAGAAGGGAAGACCTGCACCGAGGGATGTGAAGAGAATCAGGCCAAGCGAACAAGATTACGACTATGAAGATGATGCCGAGATGTCATAGTGAAATGGGGAAATTATGGTTTTACCTTTCCATATGAGGTCTGCGCAAGCAAGAGCTGGGACCGAGAGCTTTCGTTTAAGAAGTCTTTCGACTGTCAAAAGCCACATGCCCCTCAGGCGAGCAAAGCCCCCTTTTTCACTTGTGTAATTAATCTTTTCTCAGGCTGTAAGTATTACTCCCGAGTCCTGATAGTATTTAAGATTTGGTTATTTCTGCATAGATCTTGTTACTCGACCAAATGTGAAACTTCAATTGGGAAACAACTTTCATGAGAAATATAGTTGTCAATCTTGCAACGTTGTTTGATTTGTTTTCCATCTCACAAGGTTGCATCGTGCCATCAGGTATTTACTTGCGAAATTGGGTTGCTATCAAATTCGTTAAAATAAATATTGGACTCGAGAAAGCGATAATAAAAGGCTTGTAGCTCAAGTGGTTAAAGATACGAGAGGATTGTGATTCATTAAGCACAAAGTTAGCTAAGTGCATTTGTAAATACTCGTTTCCACATAAAATTTGGCTTCTTACCTTAATGCGTCATTTTCTCAGTACAAACTAACATCTCATTGAAGTGATTTGACAAAATAATTAAATGAAGCTGAGCAAACGAACGTACATGCAATTGAACGTCAAGCTTAGTATCGTTAATTTGTGATTAATGCTGGTGTATTTTCGAAGTAAAACACGTAATAACACATAATTCATGCTGATATATTTTCAAGTTAAAACACGTGGTGCCACGCGATAGACTTAGAGTTGAGTAATTGAATGACGTCCTTTTTGCTTGTGGGACTCAAATTGTCATTACATAGCACGATGTCGTTTCACTTGTTTCTTGGACTCGGAATCCAAATACCAAAACCGTTAAGCTAGTGCCGCATTATCGTTGAATTTATTTCCGGGTGGTTTGGCCCACCCTATTCCGCCGCGGAAATTCTTATCTCCTTTGTAGAGTCACCCATTTCACTCCACCTCCTTCCCCCTCCCATGAAATTGTTGGTATGTCCCTACACCTACACCTATACATACACATATACATATATATTTTATCATATATTTGTTTTCATTCGTGATTCAATAGGAGAAGATAATGATGCCGAAGAAGGAGCCAGATAAAGCTCCAGCCCCTCCTGAGGTGCCGGCTTACTGGATTGAAACCTCCGAGTCGGTCTCCTACCGCTGCGAGTTTGACCCCAGCGGTCAACTCTCTGTAAGTTCTCATCTACTTCCCCATGTTTAAATTGCGTATTCACTTCTGGGTTCAGCTGGGTAAGCGGTAGTTTTAGCTGCTGATGCACCCTTGACTGAAATTCCCAAGTTGGGTCTGATTTGAGCTATGGGTTCTTGTTGATTTGGTGAAAAGTTGGGGACTTTGTGGTCAAATGGCAATGCAAGTCGGTCACTGAGTGTCGGGTTGCTGGGTTTGATTTTAATGTATGGGTAGAGAGAGAGAGAGAGAGAGAGAGAGTTGTTTTGAAATAAACATGGTGTGGAAATGAAAGAAGGGGATTTGAAATAGTTAATTGTACTCGAAGGTGTAGTTTTTTTTGTGGGAAATGAAATGAGGATGCTTTTGGTTCAACAATGTCTTAGAATTTTCGGCAAAATAAAATACATAGCCATTGCAAAAATGGGAACTGGGGACCCGGTGGGAATTCGGGTTTTGGGGAATGGAAAGAGGATTAGTTGAAGTAGCTGCGGTCCGGTGTGTTTTTTGCGTGCCGGGTTGATTTTGTTCTTGCTTTTGTTGAACTACTTTAACTGCATTGAGTTTTCTGCAGGTGAAGATTCTTGATGACTCGAGGCCAGTGTTCCTTAAGGTCGCTGACTCATTCGTCAATAAATTTTTCCCCTCGGGATATCCATATAGGTAAAGTATTGGTTTATTCCTTTTGAGAACCCATAGACTGGTTCAATTACTCATGTACCTTTTACTTGTGCAGTGTAAATGAAGGATATCTCAGATACACACAATTCCGGGCACTGCAGCACTTAACCAGTGCAGCCCTGTCAGTGCTTTCAACTCAGGTCTTTTTTCCGATGCCTTCAATGCATTTAAAATCGTCATTTATATTTCTTGCGTGGAAATTTAACCCTATGAATTCTGGTCGATATTGCACCTTGGACCTTTTATATGTTGTTTTTTGTGCTATTTAGTATATACTATCTATTTATTTGCTACAATTCTTGAGTGACAATTCATCATATAAGCTACAGATTTTCTTATTCTCTCTCTTCCCCACACCCCCACCCTAAAATAAGAAATCTTCAAGACAACTATGATTTGGGTCATTGGCTGCATTCTTACTCCTTTACAGTCACTCCTATTTGCTGCAGGCTTGCGACCAACCCCTGCACAAGCAACTGTTGTAAGTTGGGTAAGTTCTCACTTTTTGAAGAGTATAAGATCACTTGCGACCAAATCATGACTCTGATCGCTTTCATTTCGAATATTATCAATTCCATATTGTTGACATGCAGGTTCTAAAGGATGGGATGCAGCACATGGGAAAGCTTATATGTAGCAATCTGGGCGCAAGAATGGATTCCGAGCCTAAATGTTGGAGAATTTTGGGTCTGTTTGGGAGCTTTAATTCTTATCTAACTATATGTTTTTGGCGGAAAGTGACTTTAATGCTTTTAGAAGATTTTTAATTAGATTAAGCTTTTCGCCTTGCAGCTGATGTGCTCTATGACTTTGGCACTGGCTTGGAAGTACTTTCTCCTTTGTGTCCACAGCTTTTTCTTCAAGTTGCAGGTTTAGGCAATTTCGCAAAGGTATAGTTTTCATAGAGATGCATACATGTGCATATTAATTTCTTCTCAAGTCCTCCTCACTTTTTTCATTTTTATTATAATTTATTTATTACTGGTAAACATTAGGTTTTTTTTTTTTTTTTCCTTTTTCTGATTTAACGTTTTATTTAAAGTAATAGGTAAACTTGTCATTGAAATTTATTTTATTGTCTTTGTATTTAATACCATGTCCGTGTAAAGTTTTGAGTCCCTTCTCCAATCCTAAAATATAAATTTGTTGATTGTTCCTTAAGATTTTTACCTTTGAAGTTAACAGGGGATGGCAGTTGTTGCTGCGAGAGCAACAAGATTACCAATTTATTCGGCCTTTGCAAAAGAGGGCAATCTTAGTGATCTATTTGCCAAAGGGGAGGCAATATCAACTGTGTTCAATGTCATTGGAATGGGAGCAGGGATCCAATTAGCATCTACTGTCTGTTCGTCTATGCAAGGAAAGGTAGTGGATATGATTCACTGTCTAACCCTCAATTTTACCATTCAGCCTCATCTATTATTTCTATTGTGTTCGGAATTGCACGAAATGTCCATTTTCAAACTGAGTTAAAAACAGGTTTGCATCACTCGTGTGCTATGACTGCAGTGAATATTGCATAGTTTGTTATTCTGAATTCATTTCGTACGGTGGTTGTGAATTTCTAATATTCCTTTTGAAGGAAATAGATTCGAATGATCTTTAACTTGTTGCAGATGGTTGTTGGGCCTCTTCTTTCAATGGTACATGTATACTGTGTCATTGAAGAAATGCGGGCAACTCCTATCAACACATTGAATCCACAGAGGACTGCAATGATTGTGGCTGATTTTCTGAAGACAGGAAAAGTATCAAGCCCGGCTGACCTGAGGTATCGGGAAGACCTCCTATTCCCTGGGCGACTCATAAAGGATGCCGGAAATGTAAGAGTGGGGAGGTCATTCCACAAGGTCATTAAGCCTTCAAAACTTGGTGAATTGAAAGAAATGTTCCCTGAAGAGAAGTTTCTTTTAAATCGTGGAAACAAAGGGGTTGACATGATATTGGAGCAAAATGCTACCGGCGAAGACGCATTGAGAGGGTGGCTTGTTGCTGGATACACTGCAGATATAGAGAAGTCTTTTCATGTGCCGAGTCCGAGTGCACTGGAAGAGGCTTACGAGAAGATGAATGACGTATTTGGTCCATTTGTATTGGAACTGCAGGCCAAGGGGTGGTATACCGATCGATTTCTCGATGGAACAGGAAGCCGTTTTGCGTGGGGGTCGAATCTAGGTACAGATAATTCTTCTCAAAGATATTGAAGTTCTTTGGTACGGGTAGGATTGGACAAAGCAGGGACTTTGTGATACAACGTTTATAGAAGTAGGGAAATACTGTTACTAGGGAATTGCACTCGCACACCATAACTTTCAGTTGTATTTAGGATCATCGTAATAGTTTTTTGCCTATTTCCCTCTATACCTTGCTACTGTCGATTTCTTCCCTTTAACTTTTTTTCTGGCCTCTTTTCTCTTGTTTAAACACATTCTCGTCACCCTTCTTCACACTCTTCTCATATCACAGATGCAAAAATAAAAACAAAAAACAAATTGGTTATCAAAAAGACTCTTCATTTTTATTTAACTTTCCTAATCTTATTTGTTATTATTTTTGTACTTTTTTTTTTTTTGGGTTTTTATCACAAATGGTCCCTAAAATTGACCTTCACTATCAAAATGGTCCTTAAAATTGAAAATCAATCAATGTAGTTCCTGAAAATAGATGTTGCAAATTAATGTGATCCTTCCGTCACAATTTTGTTGAAAACTCTGTTAAGTACTGATGTGGCACATAAATGGGTTCCATAAGTCATTTTTTCTTACAAATAATTCCTGAAATTGACCCGAGACATCAAAATAGTTCTTAAAATTGAAAATTGATCAATGTAGTCATTCTGTCACACTTTTGTCAAAAATTCTGTATGTGTTTAATGGGATACATAAATGGGTCATACAAGTCTAATTAAATTTAAAAAATTACAAATAGGCTTAGTAATTTAACAGTTAATAAAAAAGTTGTCAACCTAAAAACCCAGTCCTGTAATCACCTCCGATCCCAGTGTACATTTCTTTACCTCATTCCCTTTCTATTCTCTAAAATATATATATATATAATATAATATAAAATAAAATAAAATAAAAACTCTATATAACCATCTTTACACACTTTGACACCCTTTATCGAATTGAACATGGATCAATATCACCTTTGGTGAAGGCTTGGCCGATTGGTAACGACTTCTGGGACATCACTGTTAACATTTAGGAGATCAACTTCCTCACAACTTTAATCTTGGAGAGCTTGTTCGACGCTTCACTAGCGGTCTGGTGATGCAAATAACAGCAAGTTCTATCTTGAGATAATGAGGTTATACTCGAGGTGCGTCTATTGTTGGTTAAAAACTATTTTCACACCCCCTCTTAGGCCTTGGTTAAGCTTTGTGCCTTTGAGAATTTATGGGAGGGAACTCTCTTCGGAGTATGCCCTACTATAAGAAAAACATTTCATTATGCAAAAAGGTATTTAGACAACTATTTTAATTCATTATTAAACCCACATTAGCATATAACAAAATTTTTATAGATTGTCGCGGAATGATCATATTAATTTGTGACATCTATTTTCAAGGACTACATTGACCGATTTTCAATTTTAGAGACCATCTTGATAGTGTGGGTCAATTTCAGGAACCATCTTGACGGTGTTGGTCAATTTTAGGGACCATTTGTGATAAAAACTCGTAAATCTTGTGGGGACCATTTATGTGCCATATTAGCACTTAACGAAATTTTTAACAGAATTGTGATAGAAGAGCCACATTGATTTGCGACATCTATTTTCAAGAACTACATTGATTTATTTTTAATTTCAAATATCATCTTGATGATGAGTCAATTTTAGGGACCAATAAAACCCCTTTTGGTTTTGAAATTTGACATTTATCACCGACAAGTTGAATAAATATGAGGAATCACATTTGAATGTAAAACCGACCATTTGTGATAGTTCAAAGGAAGAAATTAGCGACACTAAAATCTCTTTCAATCCAAGAGTAGAAAAGAAAAGGTGATGATGATAGCACGCCATTGATGATAGCATGGGAAGTAGACTAGCCACATCAGTTGGTACTGATTTGGAATTGTGGTGTCTTAAAAAAAAAGTTAATTAAAAATTTTGGAACATCAAATGTTTTTTTTGGTAATAAAAAGTTTATTTTCTTAAAACTGTTATCAAGGACAATCGAAAAGCAAAAACAGTGTCTACCATACTTCTAAAAAAAATGTTTTTTTTTTTTTCAAAGCATAGTAATTATTGTATATTTAATGAAATTTTCAAATAGAAAATATACCCTCGTATATTTTACAAAATTATAATCATTTTTTTGACAATTGTTATATCGCATTAAATAACATATTATTTTTATGCATTAAACTTATTCACAGCAATTTATATAAAAGTTTATCAAACACTCAAACACTTTTTTTTTTTTTTGGTTATAAGCACTAAAAAAAGAAAAAAAAATTATCAAACACTCAACAACTTTATTTTACAGCTGTTTATTCTCATAGCACAATAAAAACAATGTTTTTAAAAAGCACCACAATACCTAACTAGCCGTAAGTGGCTATTTAGAAATTAAATTAAAAAGCATCTTTCTTTCTTTGGTGTTTTCGATTTTTATCTTTCACAACTGGACAAAGCTGACGTATATATATTGAGGTAATGTTAAGAATATCAAAATTTTAAATCAAATTTACAAACCAAATAATACAATACTAATTAAAATAAGCACGTTAATCAACACTTAAATAATAATTCTTCAACCATCAACATTCACATGATTTAGTTTGCAAATTTTAATATATAAATTTTGCATTACTCCTTAATTGATGCAGCCTTACCATCTTTGTGATGGCTGCCGATTTTCAGTTGGACAGACAGACAAAGACAAACTCGCTGCATTCCTATTTCCATTCTATATGTGAGGGCGAGCCAGCCTATAAGGAAGTTGGACATCTTCAAATTCTTCATTCAGTGGACTGGACATGCATGTCGACTGATATAATACGTGCACTCCTCCTCCTTGCAGGTCCCATACTTCACATGGTATACAGTTTATACTACATTATCTTAATCAGTTTTTCAGTTATAATAGTATGATATGATATGATAAATCATGAGAACTGTTTATGGACATTCTAAACAAGTGTGGTTACACACGCTTCTCTTATATTTTTTATAAGGATTAAATTGTACTTAAAGAAGTCACTCAGTATTACGGTTTAGTGGGTATTCTTTTTCGTTTAGAAAAAAGAGGTTTTAGGTTCGAATCTCGTGAATGACGAATATAATATCGAATTAAGCTACCCATTATGTGGTGTAAACACGAGAAATTATGTGACACGTGAACGTTGAAATTTTAATTATTGGTCAACATTCATTTCACCGAAATTTTGATGTCTACATGTGGCTTAGCCAAACTACTTAAATAGATTCATAATATATATATATATATATATATATGAAACTTATTTTAAGAGAAAAATGTACATCAGGAAATTAACTACTTATGTGTTTATAATTAAATAATCAGCTATCATTACCATTTAATTTTATAATAAAACTTGGAGGTATATAATTAAGGTAATGTTAGATAAACTAGATTTTTAAATCAAATTTTGTAAATCAAATGATGCGATTGTTGATAATTGAATTATTAATTAAGTATTGATTAACGTATTTATTTTCTCTTGATGACATATAATTTGATTTGTAAATTTAATTTAAAATTTTAATCTACCTAGCATTTTCTATATAATTAAGTTAGCTACATGACAAAGGTCAAAAGATGAGGTTCTACTCACTTTATAGAAGAGATGAAAAGTTGAAGTGCAGCTTTGTCGAAACGATGCATCAATTGTTATCTCAATCTAAGTTTCTTACATTTCCGATCGATATCATATTTGGTGCATCTGTCTACACGTTATTAACCAACACCAACATCGATTGTTTCAAATGCATGCGTTAGCGATTTGCTTTGCATATCCTGATATCCAAGTTAATCACGGCAATAGAAATTTAACCCTAATGTTTAATTGCACGTGCATGTGCCACAATTTATTATCTCATATTTGTGCTTGTTTGAAGTTGCAGTCCTCGCCTCATCAGATATACAAATTCCTTGAATTATATATAAATAAATTTGAATTCACATACTTTTCTGTCTGAGAGCAGGTTTGAACTTTGAAATTCTGGGAATCTCTCTCTCAGAGGAATATATACATTTACAATATATCCCACTACAGTATGATCCTATCTAAATGTTTGAGAATTACAATTTGTTATCTATATGTTCTAATCAACAATCGAGCATCGCTAGCTCCACCGGACTCGGACCAGCTCCACCATCTTCCTTGCACGGTTGGACTACGAATATATGAACATTTATATATTCAATTGTAGATTAAAAATCTATTCACATATCATTATGGTTTTAGCGACTTTGTTTTGTCAATTTTTTCTTTCACAATTAAATATTGAACATCTTCTGATTGAATGAATAGTTGTAAAGGATGATCTTTAAACCAGATTTACAAATATGAACGGTTTAAATCTTAGAAAAATACTGTGAACTCAAACATGTAATTAGCTTGCGGTTTTCAGTTACTAATTAATTAGCATTTGAGAACTCAAATAAAAAATAAAAAAATAGCATACATATATATTGAAAAGTATGAATGAGGATCCTCTTTGTAAGCATTCTAGGAATTTTTTAATTATATTAGCTCATCGTATGTCGTGCAATAAAAAATTATTGTAAATATTTGTATTTAAAATTAAATATATATAGTACCTGACGAAAATTGATCGCATAATGTATAATGAACGAATGTAATTGAAAGATTTCCGAAATCCTCACAAAAAGAATCCAAGGAGGACCCTCAATCGAAAAGTATGATCAGCTACTCGATCGCTCTGTTACATAGAATTACTATATCCAATTGCCGATCGGTTAAGTGCTTGACGAACTTTAGGTTTTCGAGCCTGTAGGTTGAAACTACTTTAGGGGCTTCTAGTTCTAGGGCATCCTCCCCAATTCAAAAGCTGGATATGTATTATATGTATGAAGAAATTTTACGACACATCAGAAGTCAAGTCTCAAGATTTTATTACTCGGTAACTCAAACATATATCTTAGGTCTCAATACAATTAACCATGAAACAGTTTCCAACGTTTAACACATATAATAATGTGATGAATAAAGCGAGAAGATGAGAGATTGAAACTGGCTGCCTTGCTGCTTTTTCTTGGGGAGTAAAGTTGAAGTAATTTTTGTGTAGTGTAGGACCGATCATATATATGTGCACGAGTTGATTGAATCATATTCCCACCTAACTTATCATAAAAAATAAAAAAATAAAAAATATTCATCTTTTGCTTATCCAATTTTATGGCACTTCAACCGTAAGCATATCAAAGCATGGACTTTTTTATTTGCTTTTGGAGTAGGGATGGCAATTACAGTTGGCATGATTTTCAGATGTCCAGTTATATGGTTAATGTAAAATAGTTTCACATCGAAAAAATATAACAAAATAACATACATCTTAATTATATAACAAAATAACATACATCTTAATTATATGTGGGGTATAACTTTTTAATATTACCAAGGCTTTTGTGCTAAAACATCACATCTAACAATAAGTGATTAAATTAAAAACAATATCGATGATATTGATTCTGAATATATTAAGCCTAAAAATGTCAATTGTGAGCATTTTTCTTTTAATAAGTAAAATTGAAGATTAGCTATATTAAAACATCTGAGAAGAACGCAAAATGTCACCCTCAAAATCCTAAGAAGAATAGTCCTACATGCACAGTCTAACCTATGGTCAGTAATACGATACGGAGAAACAAGTTTGAAAAGTATCTTTTTACTTTGTATTTCGAATTACGTATGCATTAACTGATTTTTAAAGTTTTTGTCTCATGCAGGAAAAAAAGAAATAGTTAGTGTAACTTTGACTGTATTCGTGACATCATTCAATTACTAATTGTGAAAGTAATAGTCTATTACAAATAGGCGCACAACTTAATCCATGGTCCATTACTAATCGGGAAACCATAAAAAACTCAACTTGCGCGGGGCGTCGTCCCCCCACCCCTGCCCTTTTCCCTACTCCAGTTTTTTCTCCTATTGCCAGCTACATTAATAGATTTTATTTATTTTTTTATTTATTTTTTCTTAGAATAAGAAAAAAATTTCAAATTGAATTACGTTCCTTAGTTTTATTTTTGAGGTGTGGTTTTGCAATAGTAGTTAAGATGAAGAAAGATTTTTCAATATGCCTGGAACACGGTATGATACAACATATGTCTCTATATAAGTTGTGAGATTCTTTTGTTAAAAAATTAATAACATAAAAAAGAAAATCTTCCACCACTTACATAATAACACGTGGTGTACCATTTGTGTCATGGGCACAATGAAAATTTTCTCCGGGTTGACACCCTAGTTCAAGAAATTAGATGGAGAGCTGCATTTATTATTGTAGATATGTAAAAAATGTGAGAAAATTTTAATTTGGTAATTAAAAACAGCTTTTTATATAAATTATTAAGAACATAATCTTCTCAAGGTTTTGATCTAAAGCATCATTTCTGGGTTCATTGTTTTTGGCACAATTGGTGCTTTTACAGCACCAAAAAGGGTATAAGTTTCAAACCTTATGAAACTAAACCAAGAATTAAACACTATTTACAAAACTTGATCAATAAGTAGACACTATTCATGAAACTAAACTAATGAGTAGACACTATTTATGAAACTGGACCAATAAATAGACACTATTTATGAAGCGAAACCAAGAATTAGGCACTATTTTCAAAACTAAACCAATAGGTGGAAATTATTTATGAAATTGGACTATACACTATTTATGAAACTAGACTAGGAACTAGACAATATTTATGAAATATAACTAAGGACTAGACACTATTTATGAAAGTGAACTAATAACTAGACACTATTTATGAAACCGGACCAAGAAAGAGATACTATTTATGAAACTATACCAATTACTATACATTATTTATGAAATAGAGCCCAATAACTAGGCACTATGTATGAAACATGACCAAGAACTAAACACTATGTATGAAACATGACCAATGACTAGGCATTATTTATGAAAGTGGATCAACAACTAGAAATTATTTATGAAATTGGACCAATAAATAGTGTAGTCCTGTTCATTTTTATAAATAGTGTGTTCAATTTCATAAATAATGTTTAGTTTCATAAATAGTATCCGCAATAGACGCACGGGGCCCGCACGTCAATTTTTTTTTTAATTTTATCATTTTCACTAAAATTTAGTTCTTTTGTCCCCTTTCATTAAAATTTATGGGTTTTCATTAAAATTTAATTCTTTTTCATTAAATAAAGTTATAGTATGATTTTTTTGTTAAAATAAATTTAGCCCAAATTTTTTTCATGAAAGTTCTTTTTTTTTAATTGTGTTCCTTTAGACTTAATCAGCACTTCTTTATCCACATGATGACCGGATTCGCCACTAACTCTCCTACTTTTCTTCAGTTCAATTAGTGATATCATTGGTGGAACTTAGGGGTCCCCAGTTCAAAGTCGGCAAAAATATTTTAATCCTTTGTGTTTGAACATTTTACACACCAGATAATGATCGACATAGAAAAATAGGGTGATATACGACTGATGAAGAAGGTGGTGAACTCAGTGGCATTTCCATGCCCTACTAGTTAATTTATAGTTTCACTTGTAATTGGTTTGAGAGTTTTCTATGTTTAATTGGTTGTAAAAGTATTTGATGTGATTTTCTTAATATTCTCATAAACTGAGAACTTGGATCTGAACAGAACTTGGTTTTAACTCGAGAGTCTAAACCACACACGTTTGACGTTTGTCTGAGTTGAACTTGGGTGCATGCTTACAAAAATATAGAGAACAGAACATTTTGTCGGAGGCTTGTTTCTAATGTGAATGCCGTATTGAGCACGTTTTACTGTCATGACTCGTATAGATTTCAAGATGTTACATTTATGTCTGAATGCCTATCATTTTTTGTTTGTGATTTACTAATTCATGGGATTTAATATGCATACTGAGCTTCATTGCATGAAAGAATTGATTAAAAAAATAAGTATTATCATGCTCTAAATATAACAATTTATTTTCTCAAATAAATTGTATCTGGTGAGCTTAAACTTTAAAAGAATAGTTTTGAAGTTTGTCCGTACAAGTTCAAGAAAACCAGTCCTCTATGTTGACCACCAAAGCATTGATGCTGTAACTTGAAACAACGCCAGAAAAAGGCTGGCCTTGCCTCATTTTTTTGGTCCCTATTCATACATATTTGTCATGTACAAAAAAGCCAGAAGCAAAACTAAACGGTAAACCCACTAAGGCATAGTAGTCTAATCTCCCGGGCTGTATGTAAATATTAATGAATGTATAACGCATCAGAATTAAATTACAGAAAGATACTCATCACCTATCAACTGTTAGGGTCGATAGAGATGTCTTAGGTGCAATATGCCAATTGAGGTCAAGGTTTTTTCCCCTTCAAAACGGTATTTTAGATGTTTATTACGATTTTTCTACAACACAAAAAAATTTAAATCCAAACTAATGTTAACTATGACTTCCTTAAGAAAAATTCCAATACCAAAGATTTGACTTATTACGTTCTAAGCTTGCAAAAGCATATGTTGACATGTATATTTCCCTAAAAATATATTGAAATTAAGATAATAAGAATTTGTCTCAATAAATATATTGGATCATGAATTGGATTCGCCAGTATTCGTGTTTTTTGTTGTAGAATTTGAATTAATATCGTAGAATCTCCATGTGAGAGGGGTGGGCACGGTGCGGTTCCACCCCTAAATCGGAACCGAAACTGAAAAATATCAATGGTTCGGTTCGGTGCGGTTTCGCTTAAATTTATTACTAGAACCGTACGGTTTGGTCTACACTGATTCCAATTTGGTTCTTGCCGATTTACGGTTCCAAATACTAAATTATTTGAACACCAAATCATTATGCATTCAAATTATTTATGGCACAAATCCTCAAGAATTGTACAGTACGTTTTCACAAAGGGATTTGGCCAAATGGAAGAATAACTACCTAATTTCCATTTGGACTGTCCCTCAAACTGATCCACAAGCAGCATCAATTTGAAGTCCACATAAATTTTTTTTATTGTTCTTTTGTCAAGAAATTGGCATAAAGTTTATGTAAAAAAACCTAGGAAAAGCGATGAAACAAAATGTTCTTCAACTGACATGAGATCACATATCCTAGCAACAGGACAGCATAGCAATAGATGCACCGCACCACCCCTTTCCTCTACTAATATAACACTAAACCAAAGCAATGACACTCCTCTTGGGAGAATTCTCAATTTAAGGTAGCCACTGATATTGGTTTATGTAGAATAGAATGCAGACTTTCCTTTTTTCCAAATGGCAGTGACAACTAAAAAAGTGCAACCAAATGGGGTTGGCTATGTGAAATTGAAATGGGGAAATGGGGATGTGAGGCCGTGAGTGAGGTGAGAGGGTGGGGTGAGTGAGCTCTCATTGGGATGGGATCCATTGTTTTGCAACTTGGTGAAACTAATTTTTCAACCTATCATACCATGACATGTGTGTATATATATTATTTATTTATTTATTATTAATAAACGGTTTGGTTTGGTTCCGGCCGGTTCTTGTTCATTCGAAATCGGAACTGGAACCGGTTTGAACGGTCTGGTTCGGTTTTTGGCTCAAAGTTGACTTTTCCTGTCAACACGGTTCTTTTCGGTTTATTTTCATACGGTTTGATGCTGTTTTATGGTTTTTATGCCCACCCCTATGTGAGATGCTTTATATGCTTAGTTACTGTGCAAATGTTAAAAAAAAAATGGTGTTGAATATTCAAGAGCAAATATGAGAGAAGCATGTATAAATCCTCACGTTTTAGTTCGACTAATAAAAAACAAAAAGTCATATACGCCACTGCACCCCACAAATACATGAGAGAAAAAGAGATTTCAAATTATGCATGTCTGTACTTTGGACTATTTCGTACAAGGCCAAAGCTAGCCAGCACGCACATGCATGTATATAAATAGACTTGGGAGTCTTCACAATCTTAGACCTTGCCATTGTTTATAAGTTTATAGCAACAGCCTAAGCAGAAGGAGAAGGAGAAGAAGAAGCAGCTCAAAGTAACACTCCTACGATATCGCCTCAGCCTTGGACCTAGGCCAAGTGATTGGTTTCGTGAGTGTGCCACTAATTTAGGCCCGAACAGAGAGTTTTTAATCACTTTCTGATCAAATTCGAAAGAGAAAAATGGTTAGAGCTCCTTGCTGCCAGAAGATGGGTTTGAAGAAAGGACCTTGGACTGCAGAAGAAGATCACATACTCGTCACTTACATTCAGCAGCATGGCCATGGAAACTGGAGAGCTCTCCCAAAACTAGCTGGTAATTACTGATTAGACCTTGCTTTATCAACTGCTAATCCACTAATGCAAACAAAAAAATGGCTTCTTGGGTTGTTCCAAATTAAGTTCTTAAAGGACATTTTGGAGAAGAATTATATATATATATATATACACACACACACACACACACACGTACATACATACTAGAAACTAGAAAGTTTTGAGCTTTTGATTGACCTTGAGTGTTTATTTTTTCTAGGTTTGTTACGGTGTGGAAAGAGTTGTAGACTCAGATGGACAAACTACTTGAGGCCAGATATCAAAAGAGGGAATTTTAGCAGGGAAGAAGAAGACGCCATCATCAACTTACATCAAATGTTAGGAAATAGGTACGTAGTACGTAGTTCCATTTCCTCTTCGATTTTTCTGCAAATTTGAACTGCAGGTTAACGCAGTACTAACAGTTAGATCTATAATTTCATCATTCTCCGCTAGAGTAAAAGACCATATTAAGTTATTGAGAGGTATTCATTTTCCAAGTATTGCATGTTTACGCAATTATAATTGGTCCATAACTTCACCTTTCTCGTGAATTATAAATCATTAAAACGTGTTTGTATTGAATACGAATTCATACTATCGACAAACTCTTTTTTTTTCTTCTTAATTTCTAAATGGAAGATCACATCATACCAATGAAGAACATTGTTGCATGTGGGGACTAGATGACAATCTAGCTAGTCGACTAGTGAAACATGTGGGGACTGAAAAAAGATTCCTTACATAACTTTTTCATGCACTACCTAAAACCCAAGAAATAAAAATGAAAAACACGATTTTCAAGCATTTAAAGTACTACGCAACATTTTTTGCACTCTTGCGTAGTGCTCACAATGATTCATGTGACACAACAGAACAGATTTGATATCCCTAAATCTGATTTCCTTATTGTTTTTTTCTCAGATGGTCACAAATCGCAGCGAGATTGCCTGGTCGCACAGACAATGAAATAAAAAATGTATGGCACACCCATTTAAAAAAAAGGCTGAAATCGAACCAAACCGAATCAGATTCTAGGGCACATTTCTACTCTAGAAAAACGGAGCAAGAGCTAGAGCCCATTGATGATTCTTCACATTGTGCAAAATCTGATAGCTTGGATTGTGTGCCTGTTTCGCCGGCTCGATGTACTTCAAGTAACACGTCATTTGTCACGACCAACGAGGACAACAACAACAACATTAGTAACAATGTATGCGTGACATTTGACGATTACCAAGCAAATTTACCAGAACCGGATGACAGTTTTTGGTCGGAAGTTTTGTCAACTAAGTACTATGAAGAGACGGTGAATGAGTTTCAGGCATTTGGTGGTGACCCACAAGTGAATATGGGGCCTACTGATGGTGGTTTTAGTTTAGACACGTACAATGACAACAACATGGACTTTTGGTTTAATATATTCTCAGGAGCTGAGGAAATTCCAGAATTGTTAGGAATTTGATATGTCAATAAGGAAGGCTGTTTTATAATTTTGTTTATGAAATTATGAGTTGGGAAATAGAATTTTGTGTTGTTGCTGTCCAATTCTTTGACCTTTCGAGATGAGGCCCCATTGTAATCATGGCGGCAAAAATTATATATAATTCTTGTTCAATTTTGCCGGAATGATTTGTCAATTTTGCCGGAATGAATTTACTTGGACAATTCAGATTAGTATTTGATTGGTAACGCAATCATTTGTTAATTTACAGCATAAATGAATTTCATATAGGATGAGGATTTATGGTCAACCATCTGAATCTCACATCGGATAATTAAGAGATTTAGTGTCTGATTATAAGAAGTTATGTTATTCTTCATACTGTTAATTCATTCTAGGAATTGGATCCGCTCCGGACTTTAGTGTCCGGAGCCTAAAGATCAATTCATCTGGGCCGTTGATTAGTGTATAAAAAAAATCAGAGTCATTGGTTTTGTGTGATGGGCCAGGAAAATGAGTTAATAGGGACCGTTGGATTCAATTTGTGTGGCTCAAATGAATTGATCCTTAGGCTCTGGATACTAAGGTTTCAAGCGGATCCAATTCCTTTATTCTATACTATAAAGTGAAATGTCGATTCCTTCCTGATATCAGAGTCATATTCACTTCTGTTGCCCAATATGTGTGCATGCATGGTTCATCCATGTTAGCCCAACGAGATACATGCTCCTACATCCAGTGTTGAAGCCACGTGAGAACGAGGAGTGGCGGCCGCCACTCCCCTTGGCGGAAAACACCATTGGAGAGTTGGGTTCAGCCCTTCCCCTCGCCGAAAAACTGACTGGTGCAACCCCTCTGTTTCCGGTGTTCTATTTCTGCTGCGTGCAGCAGCTGCAAATTTGAATTTTGTTTTTTTTAAAAAAAACATCCAGGCCAAAACGACGTCGTTTTGGTCCTGGTAAAAAAATTAAAAATTTTAAAATAAAATGATGCCGTTTTGGGTGTTTGAATAAAACAAATATATATATATATATATCTATATGGGGGATCGCGTGTTCCCTTCCCTCAGTCCTTCAGACTCGTGCCCCCTTTATTGTTTCAACCTTCCCATTCACCAATCAGAGAGAGAGAGAGCAGATTTGCCCCCTAAATCCAAGCAGCCAACACCCAACAGAACGGAAAAGTTAGGAAGGTTGATTCCCGTTGGCTTTTTGCAGCCATCACCAGCCACTCTTCAGCCACTGAAGTATGAGCCACCAGCTTCCAGGCTTCAATCAAAGGTAAATTTTTTATTTCCTAAATTTATAATCCCTAACCCTAATTAATTATTTAATACGAATTTTGTTTAATTAGTACAGAATCATATGGTAATGCAGTAATATGGTTATTGGTTATTGATTATTGATTTGATTCTATGATATCGTGTGGACCTCTATTTTCAAGTCCTTGATATGCAACTAAATGAATTGAATGAGCGCTTCAATGAGGTAAACACCGAGTTGCTTCTTTGTATGGCATGTTTGAGTCCGGTGAATAATTTTGCATCTTTTGACAAAGCAAAAATTGTTCGTTTAGCCCAACTTTATCCTCAGATTTTGATCGTATGGACCTCATGAATCTTCCAATTCAACTTGACAATTACATTCATGATATGAAGATGCATAGTGAGTTTTCATCATTGAGAGGAATTAGTGATCTTGCAAAAGAGTTAGTGATGACCGGGAGTTGTGAAAGCTATATGTTAGTGTATAAGTTTTTTACATTGGCTTTGGTGTTACCGATTGCAATGGCTTCGGTGGAGAGAGCTTTTTTTGCTATGAAGATTGTGAAAACACCATTGCGTAACAAAATGGGAGATCAATGGTTGAGTGATAGCATGGTTGTTTACATTAAGAGAGATGTATTTGCTTTTATTGATAATGAGCCTATTATGCGACGTTTTCATGACATGAAACATCGCCGGCAACAATTATAATTTGTTTGAATTGATTAATTATGGAAGACATTACTATATAAAAAGATTTAGTTGTTGTCATTTTTCTTTAACCTTGCACTCTTTTAAGTTCGCCCCTTCCCCCGAGAAATCCTGGCTTCGCCACTGCCTACATCCTAATACGTGTTGTCTACATATTAAACTTAAATGACCTCATGCGCGAGAAAACGTGTGAATAGTATAAAACTCACATCAAAAAAATATAAGAGACCCAATATGTTTTTATAAGAAGTTGAGTTGCTCTCTATATCATCATTTGAGTTTTTGATTTTCTGATATATGAGACGCGCTATATCTCATACCCATGAATCGATAGTTACTGGAAACAAGGAAAAGAAACTACTTACCTAAATGTATCTAGTCTTATGCAAGAATAGATCATAGTACATAATAAAGTTTTGCACTTAATTAGGGCATTTTAAATTATGCAATGAGGAAATTTCCGTGGAAATTTGCCAGGCTAAATCATGTCGTACATGTTGTAATCATCTTTTGTTATCAAATATCTAACCTGTTAACTGATCAAACCGTGAACATGATTTTCTTGGTACATGTTAAACTTTCAATAAATCATACTATGTAGATCTGCAGTAATGTTCCTTTTTCTTTTTCTTTTTTTAAGCAACGGCATGATTTTTCATAGACAAAAATAACCAATACAGAGTAAGCCGGCAGAGTAATGCCAACATTAGTTACATTCAGACGAGATTAAACTTAAAATGAAGTCTGGGGGCTCCTCAAACGAGGAGCAAGTAACCAAATCCATACGGAGAGCATGGCGAGCAAGGCGATGTGCAATACTATTTCCTTGACAAGGGTGTGGGAAATTGAAACTCCAGTGATGTTGAGGAGGAGCAGCCTTGGAATCCTCCACGATATGTCAAACTACAGTAATGTTCCTCCTTTATCAGATGATACGTATACATATTTCCAACTCACACAAAAACAAAAAAATTGACCAAATCTCCAACTCATTCCGCATATTTCATCCATGGAGTGCATCTTCACACTTATTGATTATTGCTAGATTAGTTATTCAGTTAATTGATCCAAGACACAAATTTAAAAATTTAAAATAATCTAACCGCTATTAGCTCACCTTAAATTTGCAAATTAAATGATGTGTCACCAATAGAAATGAGCATGTTTATCAACGCTTAAATAATAAATCAATCATCAGCTCCAACAATAAACCAATCATCAGCTCTGCTTAAGAGCATGATTATCCTTACCAATCATCAGCTCCAACAATAAACCAATCATCAGCTCTGCTTAAGCAATAAACCAATCATCAACTTTCATTTTCTTTAGTTTTTAAAATTTAGTCTACAAATCGAGTCTCTCTAACATTATCCTTACCAAAAAGTAGATTTTTACATGAAATTTGGAGTTTATCTGCAAACCAACTTGTATGAAGACGTGTAAAATCTCAACTTGAATATCTAATGCTTAGAAAAATCTGTCCACTTCAAAGTTGAGCAGAAGTATTCCCATCAATTAATTAGGCCAAATGTATCTTTTCATGTTATAAAAATCATATATGACTCTCTCCCTCTCTCTGAATATGAAGAGGGTTTTTATTGTGATTGGAACACGAGATAATATATCACGCGTCATTATACAAATGATAAGATATATGTGTTAAAAAGTTAATAAATTAAAACATAAAATTTTCTATCACTTATATAAAAATACGTGATGTACCACCTATATTCCAATCATAATGAAAATTTTCTCCTCAATATGGGCTCCACTTAAGAACATGATTACCAAATACTATATTTTCACATGAAATTTAGAGTTATCGCCTTGCCTGTTGTATAATCCTTCCTTTGCAGGCGTGCATGAACTAAGAACATAAAAAAACAAAATATCCGGCGAACACGTGCGCTTTGCGTAGACGAGAAAAAAACAGTTTTTTGTGCATATAATAGTCAAGCCTAACACGAGAATAGAGCAATATTTAATGGTTGTGATATTCACGCACCTTATTTCACTTCTTACATATTTTTTTAATTTTCAATCGTCGGATCGGATTAATTAAAGAAGATCAATGGACAGAAATTATTAAGAGATGTGTGAAAAATAAAATGGGATGTGTGAATATCACACCCCTATTTAAACCAGAATTTTCTCTTTTTTTTTTTCCTCTGGACAAAATATTAATCCTAAATAATCCCCAAAGGATTTGTATGCAAGTTTGCCACCCTCTCAAGTCATGAACTACTACTAACTTTGAACATTTCTATTCCACTTGAAAAGTGTACTGACTCTGATACTAGTCATCTAAGACCATCTCCAACCGAAGAGTCCAGAGAGACCAAAAATAGTTTGAAAACCATCTTCAACCGAAGGCCAGACCAAAGGGCTCATGGACCCCATTGGACAAAAAAGGGCCAAAGAGCCAACCGGGCAGGGCCATTTGCTGACGTCTCATATTTGATTTTTTTTTACATTAAATAGTATTAAACAATATTAAACAATATTAAACAACATTAAGTAATATTAAACAACATAAAAAAAATTGGCAATGTGAAACTTAAACAACATTTTTAAAAACATTTAACAACATGAAAATTATTGACAATCCATAACATAAAATTATTGAGGTAATTTAATTTAAGTAACCATAATAATTCAATTAAAATAATAAATTATGTTTGACCCTAGACCCTTTGGCCCTCGATTGGATATGGTTTTTTGTGACAATGTTATGTTTGGCCTAACTGTGAACACGAAAGTTCATTGAAACAAGAGACAAGAATAACGTGTACAAAATAATATTTTGTGTTTAATGATTTTGGGGTTACGATCTCTCTCAAATTTGATCCTCTGATTCGATCTCCGTAAGATGTAGATTTGTTGATCCAAGGGCCGTCGAGGCTTGATCTTGGATGAACGGTTGTAAGTTTCTTCAAGGGCCTTCATGGCTTTGATCTTGAAGGTTGATGGAAGTTTCTTCAAGGGCCTTCAGGGCTTGATCTTGAATGTTGATGGATGAGCGGATCTTCAAGGGCTTTTGGGCTTGATCTTGAAGAACGGTTGGTTTTCTTCAAGGGCCGTCGAGGCTTGATCTTGAATGAACAGTTGGTTTTCTTCAAGGGCTTTTGG